CTGTGTGTGTGTGTGTGTGTGTGTGTGTGTGTGTATACCTATACATAAACTCCCATACCTTGGTCGGAACTCTCCCTCATCCTCATCCTCGTCTTCGTCCGTTTCATCCCCATACAGATCATGGATGTATCGGCTGATATTTTGGCTCTGTGTCTGTCGTGCTTTTCTCATTTGTGAGCTGTAGTCTGGTTTGCCTCTGTATTCTTTTGTGACCCTTTTCTCCGTTTCCATATCCTCAAGATCCGCTGCGGTCGCGGCCTCGCGGGATTTGCGTAGGTAGGTGGAGTACTTGCGGTTGCTGGAGTAGGTTAGGGTGGCGCGAGCGATTTGATTGTTTAGTTTAAACAACATTGGTTGGTTGGTTTTAACATTGATAGGTCCTAGTCTTCTGAATTGGACAGATGGACAGGTTAGTTTTAATACTGGACCGCAAAATCCCTGAAGTCACGTATTCGCAGGGTTTGCGATGCATATCCCTTTTCACGTGTACATACATACACGCAAATCAAGATACATGTCTCTTTTCACGTGTAAATATATACATACATACAAACAAAACAGGATTAATATTCCTTATCCTGTGTACTCACATACATGCAAACAGCGTTGATGTCCCTTCTACGGATATGTACACACATGAAAAACAGGGTTCGTACCCCGTTTCACGGATACATATATCCACGCAAACGAGATACATGTCCCTGTTCATACGTACATACATACATTCATGGAAAATACGGTACATCCCCCACTTCACGTTTACATATATACACGAACCCCAGTATACATGTCACCGTTCATATGCACATACATACACACATACATATATCTACGCAGTGTCTACACATACTCACCTATCAACATATACACATACATACATCTACGCAGTGTCTACACATATTCACCTATCAACATATACGCATACATATATCTACGCAGTGTCTACACACACTCACCTATCAACATACACACATACATATATCTACGCAGTGTCTACACACACTCACCTATCAACATACACACATACATATATCTACGCAGTGTCTACACATGCTCACCTATCAACATACACACATACATATATCTACTCACCTATCATACACACATACATATATCTACGCAGTGTCTACACATACTCACCTATCAACATACACACATGCATATACCTACTCAGTGTCTACACATACTCACCTATTAACATACACACATACATATATCTACGCAGTGTCTACACATACTCACCTATCAACATACACACATACATATATCTACTCACCTATCAACATACACACATACATATATCTACTCACCTATCAACATACACACATACATATATCTACTCACCTATCAACATACACACATACATATATCTACTCACCTATCAACATACATACATACATATATCTACTCACCTATCAACATACACACATATATCTACGCAGTGTCTACACACACTCACCTATCAAACACGGCCCTCTCCGCCGCAAATAGATTGTCCCATTCCAGGGCTTCCCCATCCACCCCCACAGCCTCGGTGTCTGGCAATACAAACTGGCTCAACGGTTGGTCAAC